ATTGGGTGTACTAAACTGCTGCGACACCATATTGACACGGGTGACAGCGCGCCAATTCGCCAAAATCTTTTTCGGTTGAGTCCCGCCGAAAATGATCATGTCAAATCGGCCGTAGATGACATGCTAGCTGCGGATATTATATCTCCTTCTACCAGCCCTTGGGATGCGCCGATCATCTTAGTTAAAAAACACGACGGCTCATTGCGGTTTTGTGTCGATTTTCGTCGGCTAAACAAGATTTCTGTAGCCGACGCATACCCGCTTCCTCGGATGAATGAATCGCTTGATGCCCTGGCAGGGGCGCGGTTCTTCTCCACATTGGATTTGTTGTCCGGGTTCTGGCAGCTCCCTCTGGATGATGAATCTAAACCGAAAACTGTTTTCCGTACGCCGCATGGCTTTTTCCCATTTAACCGTTTACCGATGGGGTTACATTCAGCGCCGGCAACTTTTCAGCGATTAATGGAATTGGTCCTGGCGGGGTTGCAATGGGATTCATGTTTGATTTACTTAGACGATGTCATCGTCTTTAGTAAAACATTCGATGAACACCTCCAGAGGTTGCGTGCCGTTTTTCTCAAAATGCGGGCTGCTAATTTCAAATTCAAGCCCCAGAAGTGTCATTTGCTCCACGAATCGGTGCGGTATTTGGGTCACATTGTCGGGCGTTCAGGTATTGCCACAGATCCCGCCAAAACGCAATGTATCAGCTCCTGGCCGACGCCCACCTCGGTGGGGGAGGTCAGGAGTTTCATTGGATTCGCGTCGTATTACCGTCGGTTTGTCGCTGATTTCGCTACAATTGCAAAACCCTTACATGCCTTGACATCCAAGGGGGTCAAGTTTCATTGGGGTCAGGAGGAGGAGGCTGCTTTTCGCTCCCTCCGGGACGCCCTAGTGGGGGCTCCACCGTTGAATTACCCTGACTTTACGAAACCCTTCTTGCTCGATACGGACGCAAGCGACACGGGCATTGGGGGCGTGCTTTCGCAGGTTGTTGGGGGCGTAGAGCATGTGGTTGCGTACGGCAGTCGGGTGTTGTCTCCGGCGGAACAAAGGTACTGTGTTACCCGTCGGGAACTATTGGCGATCGTTTACTTCATTCAGCAATATCGCCTATATCTGTGTAGTAAGTTCGAGGAGACGAGGTCGGAGTTGAGGCACACTCTGTTTATTAATTCAGTGACAGGCGCAATAGTTGAAGGGGATAACGGCCCCTTCACCTGTACTATGGGAAACCCACCCTAGTACTAAGCCCTCTGTCCTGTTCCCCAGTCCTCCTCTAATGGGCTACGGGAGGCTGACTGATCTGGCCCTGGCAAGCACAGATCTCAACACCAGCTAAGCCGGCCTTGCCCTGACAAGGGCAGAGGTCCGGAAGCTCTTGGGCCGCGCCGCTGGCTTACCCAGCTCGGCCCTGACAAGGGCAGCGAGACAGGGGAGTCCCAGGGCCTAATCTCCGAGTCTTCGATCTTCACTGGTCAGCTTCGTGTCGAACTGCCTCGAGCTCTCTGGCTCCCCGCCTTTTATAGAGATCTTCTCAGAGAGGCGGGGTCGTGGGGGATAACGGATGCGGACGTCGGTGTGACCACCCGTGTGTGTGAGTGCAGACACCCCTGTGTTTCTCGTCCGCCGTTTCTCCCGTAATAACCCCTACATCTGTACGGTCAACGTTTCACCGTCCGCACAGATCATGCGGCGCTGCAGTACGCCTTGCGGGTTCAACAGCCATCGGGCCAATTGTCTCGATGGTTGGAGATTCTCCAGGATTTTGATTTTGAAACTACTTATCATAAGGGCGTTCGCCACACGAACGCAGACGCTCTGTCGCGTTTGCCGCCCACCTCCGAGTGCGCTTGCCTCCTGGGTTCGGGGCGTTGCAGACCTCCGAATGTGATCTCTGATTCGGTCCTTGCGGCCGCCGCTGATGCGCCTTCGGGTGCCGGTCCTATTGAGCACGATGGGAGGGGTTGTCGGTTGCGGAGTGGGGGCGCCTCCAAATCGAGGACACCTCCCTCCTCGCTTTGTGCCGTCGCATCGGGGGAGTTGGTCGGGGGGCGGAAAATGTCGACTCTTGGGGGTTATTTCAAGGTCTTTTGATGCATTGGGACGGGAGATCCCGCCACCACCGGCTGGTGGTGCCTTCCGCATTGAGGGGTAGAGTGGTGTGGGCTGCGCACGAGCGACTCCTTCACCTAGGGACTCACAAAACCCTTGCCATGCTCCAGCTGGATTTTTCTTGGCCGGGCATGGCAAGGGACGTGGATGATCTTTTAGGGTCGTGTACTCAGTGCGCGCAATGGAAGCCACCAGCGCGGGGGTCCAACCCACCATTGCAGTCTATCAAAGTTTCCCGGGTTAACAAGCTCGTTGCGCTTGATATTCTGGGCCCATTCCCCGCTACACCTAGGGGAAATAGATACCTATTGACCGGAGTAGAATATTTTACGCGATGGCCTATGGCCTGGCCCCTCGCCAACCAGTCGGCAGCAGCCATCGCGGAGGCCTTTGTCCAGGGCTACGTCCTCGACAAGGGTGCTCCGGAGCGGCTGCTGACCGACCAGGGTAAAAAAATTTCGGGTAAACTTCTCCACGAAGTATGCGAGCTCCTGGGAATGAAGAAAATTTGTACCTCCCCATATCATCCGCAAACTGACGGGATGGTGAAGCGTCTGCATCGGACTATCACGTCCATGCTGTCCCAACAGGTCTCGGAATCCCAGACCGATTGGGACCTTCATATTCCGGGGGTTTTGGCGGCATACAGAATGGCTCCGCATGCGGAGACCGGATTTTCGCCCTTTTTCCTAATGTATGGCCGCGAGGCTAACCCACCTGTCACGACTCAGCTGCAGATATCCGCGCCGCATGCTAAATCTAAATTGGCCGGTCATGTCAAATTCAACATCGCTAAATTGACAGAGGCGCGGGAGGCGGCCATCCAGAATTCAGAACTTCGCCAAATGGCGAATGAGAGGCTCAGGCTGGGTCGGGCACATGTGCTCCAGTGGAAACCGGGTGACAAGGCGTGGTTGCACTGTCCCCAAATACCACTGGCGACCTCGTCTAAGCTGGTGCGGCCGTGGCGGGGGCCCGTGGAAGTGGTGCAGGTCTTGCGGCCACAATGTGTGCGTATCCGGTGGGGGAAGCGTAGGTGGTTCGTGCACCCCTCCAGGTTGAAACCGTTCGTTGCGCCCCATGTTCCTACCACACACATGCGTGGCCAAACATGTGAGGGGTCCACCGACTCCCGGAGTCCGACTTCGCTGCTTTCGCCTAACTTGCCACCAACTGTTCCACCTCCAGGTACACCAGGATTGACGTGCTCACGACCGCCAACCCCTCCCGGGGGGGTCGGGGGTCGCTCAGCAGCGAAGCCTGACTCTCTCGCACCCGGACTGTTGACACCCACCACTGGGCCAACCGGGGTTGCCCCTTGTGACGGCCCCGCTGCAAGAACGCGCGCCAAAACGCGCAGACTTTTATGAGGTCGGCCGCTTGTGCGGCCCTTGCGGGCGTCGCGGAGTGGGGGGGGGGTCCTGGAAATTGTATATATGTTGGGTTTTTACGGGATGCGGTATTTATTCGGGGGGGGGGGGGTGCGCCGGGTTATTTTTCTCTTTCTTGTTGTTCTTGTTCATTGTTGTTGTTGTTCTTGTTAAATTACGCGAGGCACACACGGATTTGGAGGGATGCATCTTTATTGAGATTTTGTTGCAGCCGGGACGGCTGCGGGCTGTACAGGGGGGGGGGGGGTGATGTAGAGGTGTTACGGAGGGCTTAACAAACACACTGGGCATGGTTATGCCCGTACGCCGAGAGGCGCTTACATCGACGTCCGCACCGTTCAGCCTGGGGGGCTGACACGAGCTGGGATCCCCCACGGCCCCACCCCTCAGTGGGGGGAGTTGCTATATAAGGCGGTGAGCCGGAGTGCTCGGGGTTCAGTGTTCAGCCTTAACCAGTGAAGCAAGAAGACCTGCTAGATAGGCCCTGGGACTCCCCTGGCTCGCTGTCCTTCTCAGGACCGACCAGGGCAAGCCAGTGGCGTGGCCCCGAGAGCCCAGAGCCGATGCTCTTGTAAGAGCCGGTCTGGGGACTCAGGGTGCCGCAATCCCAGCTTAACCAGGGTTGGGTTAGCTAGCCTCCCCTAGCCCGGTAGTGGAGGACCTAGGAGTAGGCTAGCTGTGACATAGAGTGTGGATCTCCCAGTTAGACGGGTGAAGGGGCCGATACCCCTTCAAGTGTTGTACATCTCGGCCTGTTATGTACTTTGTGCTTAATAAATAAGTGTGCCTCCAACTACGTCGTCCAAGTCTCCTGGAACCTACTACAGAAGCATGGGCCAGATCAGCTCAATGCTGTTCCGGCATCGGCACATCCACATAACATCATGGATGTACGCCGAGTCCAAGCAAAAACATCTGCTGGACTATATAGTGACGGAACAGCGAATGTTGGCTCATGTCCTTCACACCAGGACCTACCGTGGAGCTGATCTGCCCACTTACCATCGGCTTGTCATCTGTAAGATGCGCGTACCATACTTCCACTGTGGTGGTTGGCATCCACATGCGAGCGAGAGGAGGTTTATCACAGCTTTCGCTCAGAGGTTCGGAAAACCGTGCGGCGCTGCGAGGATGAATGGTGGTCGCGAGTTGCTGAGGCGATGGAAACCTCTTCAGTAGCATGCGATCACAAGTTATATGGGTGCGATATCACAGTCAACATAAATGACAACGAATATGTGAATCAGTCCTGGGCCTCTCTGCTGAGCCCTACATGGGCACCTGGTGCCATCAGCACTGGGGAGACAAACGCCGTTGTGCCGACCTTCATGGGTGCTGCTCGCTGACACCACTTCTGACCCCATGTTTGTACTGGACATCTGTGAAAAATAGCTTCCTAGGCCATCAGATTCCTCCAGTCTAAATAATCTGACTTGCCCCAGCAGCCTGTTTAAGGCTGCACGGGGGATCTCTGTCTTTGTGTGAGTGTAGGTGCTGCCATGGGAGGGGTCCCGCTGGTTGTGGGGGGCCCAGCCCCCCCTCGCTGGCCGCTCATCTGGGTTGCCTTGGTGACGTGGGGGCCGTGCACCTGGGGCCACGAGCGCGGGGTCCGTGATGACACGTTCGCCGTCCCCCGCTCCACCATCCCGCACCACGGTGATGCATGCACGCACACAGCGTGGAGGCCGTGCAGGAGAAATTGATAATTATATTTTTTAAAAACGCGCATTTATGACACGCCGCCACCATGCCGCGCTCAATTTCCGTGAGATTCTGAGGCAGGGAAAAACGTGGACGCGCAAGGGAAGGCATCAGCCACAACCGTCGCTACTGGCAATTACCCAACCTCTGGTCAGACAGCTTAGGGCCGGATCTTGATGAAATGGGGACAGAGTGGATTAAAGCATCATATTTTAATTTAGATGATCTTCATAGGAAATACTTGAAGTTTTTGCGAGGATCCACGAAAACAAGTCATAGGGACAGTTTTTACGAGCCAAAATGTTACTTTTGTTCATTCCGCACCATGAAAATCGCAAAAAACACGTATTTTGGTCAAAAACATTAACATGAAGCTGATGAAAGGAAACACCATTAACAGAGTCTTGTAAATATTACCACACAATCATCATGTCACATATGTAAGCAAAACAATTGCAAAAATATGATTTTGTCTCGCTAAAATGACTGAAACACCTGACATTGTAATCCCAGATCATCGTCTTCAATTGTAAGAAAAAATCTCCCACTGTTGCCAAATCTCAACACACAACTATGAACCACCACTACCTCTGTACATTGGACTGAATGTTCATACACTTACGCAATCAAAGAAGCTGATCACACAACTCTATGATTCAGGTCTCAGTGTCAGCTATGACCGAATCTTGCAGCTTGAGAATCAGTTGGCAATTATAGTCTGTCTCTATACTGAGAAAGAAGGTGGTGTGTGCCCTTCTCAGCTACGTCATGGTCTCTTCACTGTTGGTGCCTTGGACAACCTGGATCACAACCATTTAAACACTATGGCAAAAGGTTCATTCCATGGCACAAGCCTGTGAAACCACAGTAGCAGTACTGAAGTTTGTCAACGCAACAGATACAATTGGTGTAGACCTAGTGGTAGCAAATATGCAGGAAAAACTTTGGTTAGCGAGGGCATTCGAACTTATGAAGAAAAATATATTGGAAAAAGGCAACAATGTAGCATGGTCAGCCTACCATGCATCTCTGCAAGATGATTCCGAATTGGAGGATAAGCAAGCAGCTCTCACGCAACTCTTGCCACTCTTTTATGAAAAGGCAGCAGCAGCCGCCATGATCAACCATGGAATGGATGTTCAGCGCCAAGCCACACAATTTCTCAACCCTGGACAAATTCCTGTAATGGCCATGGATACTTCGCTGTATGTCCTAGCAAAGTACATTCGATGGAATTGGCCTCAGACACATGGGGAGGACAAGTATGTCGTCATGTTTGGTGGTCTCAAACATTGAAATGGCCATGTGGAATAATACAGTTGGAGACTATCTAGATGACTAAGGTTGGACTACTGCACTAACAACAGGGAGGCATTGCCTCCTCAGGCACAGCAGATTCATTTAATCGCAGCTCCCATCTCACTAGAACAAGGCAAGCACACCAAATTAGTTCTATGGCCTTGGCCAAGCTTCAGCAGGATGCCTTCTCTTGCACGGAGCAGCTCCAAACTGATGAAGCAAAAGAGCTTTGGAGACAAGACATCAGCAGCAGGAGCCCAACATTCCAGTACTCGGATATCCTCAACCTAGAACTTCTGGGTCTCATCTTCATCAGAGCTCACTGTGATGCAAACTTCCAAATGTATGTGAAATTACTGAAAACCCTGGTTCCATGAACTGCATCCCCATAATGATGTTCGTTGGATCCCTGTTCACTTTCGAGACATGGGAAACCTACCTCATTCCATTCAAGAATAATTTGACAACATGGCAATTGGATTGCTCCCAAGACTACGAACCGATTCTTAGCCATATCCATCGATCAGGCCCATGAGCAAAATAATGACATGGTGAAAAGCTTTAGGGGTGCAGTAGCACTTACGGAAAACCCATCAGCCTTCCGAAAGAGGATGCTCGCAGGATCTGAGCAAGCAAGACTGCTGAATGAGTTTTAGGAATGCTTTTTTGGGAAAATTGAAAAGCACCACCACCAGGAGGGCCTGTCTGTTCAAAAGAATTTCAGACTGTACGCCCTGAGTCTGGCGGTGACCGTCAGTGAAATGGGCAAACATTTCCTGAGCGACACTCCAGAGCTGATAACTTTGGATACTTGTGATGTTCTGAATGAATCTGTGATTAACACTGTCCACAATGTAGAAGCACTTGACAAGAAGCAGTACGATTGTAATGAATAAAGTCCACCGACTCACTGATAACTTAACGAGTAACTGCGTGTGACTTTTTACACTTGGGTAACTTATGTGACTCTACGCGACGCTCCCTGTGTAGTTGGCTGGCTACACAGGAGCGGACGCGTAGCAGTCACGGAAACAATATAACGCTAGCCTTCCCAGACTACAAGGTGCCCATTCTAGGACGTTGAAGACGACCCGCTCCAAGATGACGACGGCGACGGCAGTTCCATGGTTCCCCCACAACAGCAGTCCAGAGCCCTGTTCCACACTGGCTTTTATCCCTCACACGACCCGGCCACACGATGACTACCACAAGTCAGTGCTCATCGACTGCACTCAGTTATTCATGACCCAATCAAGAAGAACTGCCTATGACTCTTCAAGTTTCTTGAGCACATACTCAAAATCAAGAAAGCTGACAAGATCTCAACTTTGAAGACTGATGTCAACCTTTTCTCCCATCTCTATGTTGTGGCACAGCTCAGGGAAACAGACATGGGTACTTTTTTCATGCATTTAAATCACCCCCCGTCTCTCTCTGACAGAGGCATTCTGCGTCTGGGAAATACGTCTTACCTACTAACTTGTCTGGTGGAAACAACTCAGACAGAGGCTCTAATGCAAGTTCTAGATGATGATACAGACCTGGTAGCATGTTTGGTACAAACTACTGAGACAGAGACTATAAGTTCCATTGACATCACAGTTCTAGATGTTGCTCCTGATCTGCTAGCTTGTCTTGAACAAACATCTCAGACAGAGCCTCCAAATATATTTGACATGAACACTCTAGACAGTGCTGCTGTCTTGCATCTCCTCTCCACAAGCAGTGTCACAATATTTAGAGACTGCCGATGACAACTTTATGCCCTACATCATGAACCAGCTGGGGAATGTCAAGAGAGTGGATATAGTATGGGACACCTACTTCAAAAGCAGCATCAAAGAATCTAGAAGAGAGAAGAGAGGCAAAGGCATCAGGAGAAAGGTTCCCAGTCAGAACAATATCCCTAGGAAGTGGCAAGATTTTCTGTGTGATCCAGAAAACAAGCAGCTCTTTACCTCCCTCTCGGACAAAGTAGCAGTCATTGAATTCCCAACTCAAAAGAAGGTTGTTATTACATGTGTAGTGACTGTGCTTGTCACTGTATGGTGCTGGGGCTTGCGAAGCCACGGCCGGTAATGTGTTGTCATTATGGGCAGCCCGGGTTACGGGATGTAGTACCAGCCCTAGTGGGGCTTGGGTGAGCGCTGGTTAGTGCGGAGGCACCGCAAGCAGTGTGCGGTGCGGGCTCCCGGTGAGGGAGCGAGAGGGAGCGTCAGCCAGCCAGGGTTACCTTGGGGCATGATACGCTGGTTGACCCGCTGACACTCGACTGGACGATATTGGAGGGGGGCCACCGGTGGACGGGGGCTGCGGGGCGGTCACGTGGTCCATAGGAGCTCTCGGGAACCTTCAAGAAGGAGCTCGAGAGACCTGGAAGGTGGGCGGGGCTAGGGGCGGAGCCAGCCCCAGCCCGGGGGCATATAACGAGGGCCCCGTGAGGAGCTCGGAGTTCTTCGTATGTTGGTGTTACGAAGATCCACGTCGGGGAGAAGAAGCCTCTAGCCACGCGGTCCAGGACCGTTTGTGGTGCGGACCGGGATAGCGAACCGTGTCTAGTTCTGCCGTAACGTGGTTATATGGGCATTCGAGACCCGAGTGTAGATCATGTTGTGTTGCGTGTTAATGTGAATAAATAGTGTTGCTCCTAAGATAACGTCTGCGACATGTGATCAATGAGTTGTGATCAGAGGATCCAACCGCAGCATGCCAAAATGTGGCAACGAGGAAGCGGACACAAGAATGCTGGTTCATTTGCAGGGTGCCTTGCAGAATGGTTGCCACGTGTTTGGTTCACATCATGGATACTGACATACGAGTAGCTTCGGCGCAGGGAAGAACTTCAGCTATTTTTAAATCCTTTATATTAAGTTCACTTGCTTGCTTGCTTACGACCGTGCAAATCTTTCGGTCGTTTTTTAACCCACTTCCCGTGATCCAATCGAGCTGACATTTTGCACAGACTCGTTGTGCGTGACAATGTATTTTCGTGGAAAAAAAAATCCTAAATTTTACACTTTTTAGGAAAAATAAATTATATTTAATTACCAATTGCTTAATGGTGCCAGGCATTCATCTGACCCATAGGTGGCAGCCATCTCAAGCCAGAGGACGAGAGGACTCTAGCCGCCACGCATATAAAGGATTTATAGTGAAAAACTTTGTTTTTACGGGTTAATTTTTACATCAATGCCATCGCCCAGGCTCTAGGATAAAACACATCCACTGCCTTACCCATTTTCCACAGTTCCACAGGCTGTGATATGGTTCTTCCTTTTTTGGAAAGGGGAAAAGGTCAGCATGGCAGGCTTGGAAGTCTTATCTCTAAGTAACAGAGGCTTTCAACTTCATGGTGGAGAATCCATGCACCGAGTTGGATGTTCAAACAAATTACTTCAAAGTGCTTGAACGCTATACAGTCGTCTTGTATTACAAGACCAGCCACCTGAATTCCGTCAATGAGGCATGCAGAGAGATGTTCTGCAAAGAAAGAAAACAATGGAAATGATTGTGCCAACACAGAGTGCATTGTTGCAGCACTCAAAGTAACGAAGTTTCCAATGAAGTTACAAAAGTGTGAAATTTATTTAAAAAAAAATTGTTATATGTGAGCTCCATAAATGTATAATGACCTATCGTTGATATGATTGTTTTCACATTAAAAACTTATTAAAATAAATCTGCTACGTTCGGGGTTTTTATAACCATGCAATCAAAAAATTAAATTGTCACGTGATAGCATCCAAGATCTCAAATCTGATGGATCCTAGCAAAAAGTGAACCAGTAGGACCTAAACAAGTAACTCACAAAGTGTATTGCTTTTATCCAGCCTGTCCCCTTCATTTTGGTAAGCTGCCTGACTAATTGGGAGGTTTGGCCAAACACTCAGTGCTTACATTCGTGCGTGTGCGCGTGGAACGTGAGAGCCGCTTACGGCGACAAAAAACTCCCGAGACGCAACATGAAGCACGTGCCTCCATGTCTCAGTTTCCCTGCGTCTCAGTGTCTCGGTGTGCCCATACTTGGATTTACTGACTGATTTAGAACTTACATTCCAAGAAGAAGAAATCTACATTAGACTGGCCCTGTTCATCCATAATATCCTTATTGGCAAATCTGCACTATACTTAGCTAATTCATTAACACCATAGTCAGACCCAAGAAACCTAAGACATCCACCTAATTGCCTTTTAGCTATCCTGAGAACAAGAATTGGAATCGGTGACAAAGCCTTAGCCAATTTAACACAAACATAGGCTTTCACGACCAATATCATGCATAATATAGGTTTTTTTTGGGTTAGATCGCGTAAATATAAAATTGTGCCGTTAAAACCCGCCACCACCCAACACATCCAACTAGTAAGGGTTGTCACGTAAACAGAACGTGCCAATTCGTCACTAGTACAGCACTAACCGGTGTAGTGTAGTGTATAGTAATGTAGTGTGTAGTAGTGTAGTGTATTGTGTATAGTAGTGTAGTGTATAGTGTAGTATACTAGTGCAGCACGCCGGTGTGTTGGAGAGCCAAGCCACAACATTTACAATCTGAGTACGACGTTTCGCCAGTAATTACAACTAGCTTCATCAGGTGTGTTGAGTGGTGGCAGGTTTTAACGACGCATTTATATAATTACGCGATCTAACCCAAAAAAACTCTGATGGACAACACCAACATATTGGAACAACCTCGTTTCCTGCCCTAACATAGTACATCTTTAAACATTATCCTGAAGAAGATTCGTGTTGGATACAACCACATTTGCTTATTTAATGTGTAAATGTGTGCGTTGTCTTGGTGTGGTCTAGGACTGTTGTTGTTATCCTGCCTTGCCCAAGCTTGCATTTAGTGTCGAAAAATCGGCAGGAATGTGTGTGCTTATGCAATTTATAATTGTATACTTTATATTTATTCATTTTCGTGATTTACTTACCTTTTCTCTATTTTGCACTCTTATCGTTTGTTTGCATTATTGTTGTAACTTGCTGACCCGTTCCTACCGGGCATCTGTGGGAAAGAGCTTCATAGTTCAGACTGGATTCCTCCTCCAGTCGAATGATTCCGATTGTGATTCCAATCACCCTGTGTCCCCATGTCTGAGTGGCCAGTGTCTCTGTCTCCCTGTGTCTTTGTCTCCCTGTGTCTCGGTGACCCCTTGTCCCCCGGGTGCCCCCCCCCAACCATGTCCCCCCCGTGACCCCACCCCCCGCGCCGTGTGTAGCTCTGGGCAGCGCTGTCCGCCGCGTGGCTGTGCGCGTGGGGGGAGGCGGGGCACTGGCGCTTTCTCCGGATGGGGCGACGCTCCTCGTTGGCGCTTGCGAGGGCCTCGTCGTACTCAACGCTCACCAGCTTGACCGCCAGCCCCGCACGGTGAGCTTACACAGGGGGGGGCGGGGGCATGGTGGAGGTCAGATGGCATGGTGGGGTTGGAAGTTGGTTTGTGAGTAGTTAAAGAAACATCAGCCATATGAAGCAGAATGGCTGTGGTTGAGTTAGGTGAAGGTGGAGTGTGCGTGCATGAGTGGGGAGCCGTAGTGTTGCGGTTAGCGCGCTGCGCTACGAACTCGGCGATCTGAGTTCGATTCCCACTCATGGCAAACACCAGTGTCAATTATCTGAACCAGTCCTGGGCCTCCCATAGGTCGACTCAACCTCAAATTAGTACCTAATGCAGTGTGTAAACATTGCCACTGGGGAGACAAAGGCGGCCGGGCATAATGTTGGCCACCCACCCCCTCGTGTGCCGTGCCGTCCTTCATAGGTGTTCGCTAACAGCACTTGCTCCAAGAGTCTGTTAAGGCTGTACGGGGGATCTTTATCTTTGAGCGTGTGTATGTGCATGTATGCATTTGGGGGCTTTGGCACAGTGAATAGCGCACTTCATTACGAACTCGATGATCTGAGTTTAATTCCCGCTCACAGCCAACATTTTAACACATAGGCTTTCGTGACCAACATTATCCATAAGATGTTTTTTTTTGGGTTAGATCATGTAAATGTAAATGTGTCGTTAAACCCGCCACCACCTAACTTTGTTGACAAATATTTAAACTGGTCATGGGCCTCTCCTAGGTCGAATCAGCCTCATATGAGTATCTGGTGTGGCATTTAAACATCTCCCCCGGGGAGACAAAGGTGGCCTAGCATAGGGCTGGCCACACCACCCATCGTGTGCCATGTCGGCCTTCATAGGTGCTCGCAAACAGCACTGGCCCCAAAAGTCTGTGTAGGCTACACGGGGGACCTTTGTCTTGTGATGTGTGTGGTGTGTGCGGTGTCACAGATTGTGTGGAATGCCACGACTGCCAGCAAAGAGGAGTGCATAAGGAAAGGGAGACACCCTGAGGTGCCCTTACCACCAATAACACTAACACCACCGCCACCACCACCATCATATAATTGCAACCACCCCAATCACCACCAACATCACTACCACCACCACCATTCCCATCACCATCATCATGACAATGACCATCACCACTACTTATATAAGAAAATCCACCACCAACACCTTTGCTAACATCATCATCATCAGTGTCTGTAGCATTGGCAGATGTTGTGGTGCGCGCCTGTGAATCTGTATGGTGGATGACAGAGATTTCTGAAAATCTCAATCCCACCGGGCTGCGAGAAGGTGGCCAGGAGATGGCAGTATAACACATGGGTTGTACCAGAACCACATCGTGTGCCCATGATGGCTGAGTAGTCACATGCCTTCCTTCTGTGACCCCGTGTGTGTGCAACCCAAGTTTGATTTTAACTCATAGCCAACACCAGCGACGATTATCTGAATCGGTCCTGGGTGTGGTCGACTCAGCCTCAAATGAGTACCTGGTGCGGTGTGTAGTTAACATCTCCATTCGAAAGACAAAGGTGGCCAGGCGTGGTGCTGGCCACCCACTCCCTCGTGTGCCACGCCGGCCTTTGCAGGTGCTGCTACTCGCTAACAGTACTTGCCCCAGCAGTCTGTGTGGGTTACACGGGGGTCTTTGTCTTTGCAGAAGGAGTGCCTTAACTTTGTGCGCGTGCTGCACTTCGTGAACGCGTCCCACCTGTACACATGCGGCACGCACGCCTTCGACCCCCAGTGTACATACGTGGTGAGTGGCGCGCGGGTGGGGGTGAGTATGGGGCGAGTGTGGGGTGAGTGACCCGTGGTGTCTGTGTAGGGGGTCTGTCTTTGTACATGTGTAAAGACCAAAACAATCAACCACTTGCCCGATGTGGTACGTATGCAGACGGACAGTCAGGTAGTGTGTTAGGGGCCTCTGATTGGTGCAGGGAGGGCTCAAAGAGCATTTGTTATGGTGAGAGAATTAAACTGATTGGAAGGGAAATTCAAAGGTAAAATGTGGGAAAACGAGGGTGGACTGTATGTGTAACGGTTGACAACTGTTAGGAAAAGAGGACAAGGATTGGCTGGAGGAAATGGGTTGAGCGAAACTTGGAGAAAGGGGGTTCGAGGAATATAAAAGCGTAGAGCACAAGGGGAAGGGGAGGTTGGAGAGAAGATGAAGTGCATGCATCATGAACTAAAGTGTGGGGCTAGAATTAGCGTTGTGTATAACATAAAGGCTCATAGTAAAGCAAGAACGTGTGTCGGCATCACTACACATGTGTACACGTGTGTACATGTATGTGTATGTATGTGTAGTGTCATAGGGGGGCCACTGTGCCAGCCCAAGAGGGGAGGGGCTGCTGGGGGCTCTAGGATCCTAGACAGCTACGCCCTCGGCGCCGGCTCTAGGATCCCAGACAACCCAGACAGCTAAGCCCCTTGGCGCCACCAACGGGGGGGCTGTGGGGTATCTGGGAGGACACACAACCCCACCCCTCGATGGGCAAGAGGGATAAAAGGACCGCTCCCTGGCCAATCAGGGCCAGTCGCAGCTCAAGACCCAAGACCAGCCAGCTTAGGACCCTGGACCCCCTCGTCCCACTTGTCCTTGTAAGGGCCGGGATGCTGTGCGGGCCAGTGGTGGGACTCCGGGACTCCCGGCTCTACGCCCTTGTAAGGGCGAGTTCCGAGGAAGCCAGAGTCTAGACCCGCACCTTGGCTGGGTCGGGTCAGGTAGCCTCCCCTCGGGTAATTGTAGCCGGAGGACCCCAGAGCGTAGCTAGAGTAGGCTGTGTTCCTAGGCTGTGTTCCTAGGCTGTGTCCCTAGGCTGTGTCCCTAGGCTGTAACAGAGTATCAGGACTGTTGGAGTGTTGTATTGTAATAAAGAAGTTACCTCTACAAGTGTCTCCGGAACCCATTACATATGTGTGCAGGCGAAAACTACCCCCCACCTGCTCGCTGGTGCCGGACGGCAACGCTGTGGTGGATGTGAGCAATGCCATGGAGGGAAGGCCAATTCCAAAATCGGCTATACTTCTTTATGGTGCTTGTAGCCACCACAGCGACCAAACGGGGGCTCTGTATGGGTGCGAGGGGCTGGTAACCCCTCCACCTTCTATTAATTACCACAAAACCACGTGAAGAATATAGAACGAAGCTTGTGCCGGATGCCTCGGGGAGACAGGCATCTATGACGTCTCTTGGCCAAACCCCATTTGGCGAAACCAGGAGACTCCAATCTTTACCCTCAGGATTCCTCCAGAAACAGTAAAAATCCATTGTGGGTGGCCACGTGGAATGGTCGAATGCTCACTGCGGAGGAGAGGCTGCCACTCCTCTGTCGGGAGCTGGACCGGTATTGCCTGGATCTCTGTGGTATTCAGGAGGTCCGGTGGACTGGCTCTGGCTCCTGCCACCATGAGGGGTCGACAGTCCTCTTCTCGGGGCAGGAGACTGCCAAACAACAGGGAGTGTCTCTTCTTCTGAACAATTAAACGAAAGGGGTGTAGGAGCATGGCGGTCAGGTGTGGGAAACTGTAAGCCCCAGGTTACTGTGGGCTCACCTTCCCATCAACCAGAAGGGAGGAGTAGTGGTTGTGGTTAATTATGCCCCCACCAAAGAAAAACAGTGGAGGGATGTAGGCAAGGCCAATGAGTCTGATGCCTTCTATGACCTCCTGTCACAGGTGCTAGCTAAAGTGGCCCCTCAGGATAGAGTCATCCTGTTGGGTGATTTTAATGACCGAGTTGGTCATGATGCTGGCACCTGGTCTGGAATAATTGGAAGGTATGGGAAAGATCAGTTAAAAATCAATGGTAGGAGGCTACTAGACTTTTGTGCAGCCCATGAGGTTGTACTTACCAACACGCTGTTCCGGCATGGGCACATCCACACATCATGGATGCACGCCAGGTCCAAGAAAGAACATCTGCTGGACTATATAGTGATGGAACAGCAGATACCGGCACCAGGACCTACCACAGAGTTGATCTGCCCACTGACCATCGGCTTATCATCTGTAAGATGCGCTTGCCATTCTTCCACTCCAGTGGTGGGTGTACATCCAGGACCCCATTTAAACCCAAAGTGGCTTGGTCTCAGCTAGCTGATGAAAGTTGCAAGTGATAATTTCATCATCCTTTGCAGCTGAGGTTGGCATCGTCCCCCACTCCTGATGCTGAGGGGAAATGGGCGAGGTTAGAGACTATGGCTCATGCAGTTGCAATGGCTGCTATGGGTGCACGGACCAAACCTCCCCACAGACCCTGGCTGACAGAGGAGGTGTTCCGGCTGCTGAGAAAAGGCTACAGAACCACTGTCACTGTCTACAGCATCCCACGTGAGAGAATGAAGCTTACCACAGCCTTCGCTCGGAGGTTCGAAGAGCCGTGCGGCGCAGCAAGGATGGGTGGTTGCCTCTGTAGCCCGCGATCACAAATAAGTATTTTTAAAAAAGTAATTTGCAGCGCCACACCTATCACCATCATTAGGAGAAAGGAAGGTGATTCGATTTCCGATCCCCAGGAATAAGTATGTAAATTTGCTGAGTATTTCTGTAAGGTCTTGGCGGAGGGTAAATCCCTCAACCTGGAAAATATCATGGGGCTAAGTGGGGATGAACCTGATGAGGCTGTGGTGCCTCAAATATTGGAAGAAGTAGTTACCCCCTGGGGTGGCTGGCTGAAGTGCCATCTGTTGAGGAAGTACAGAAGGCTATCCAGAGTCTGAGACCAGGAAAAGCACCAGGGAGAGAAGATCTCCCAAGCGAAATGCTTAGGGAGGGTGGCGTTTGTCTGCAGACAGCCCTATATGACATCATAATAACAGTCTGGACTACTGGACGGGTTCTGCAGGATTGGGGGAATGCCCTGGTAGTCCCCCTCTTTAAGAAGACCGTATCAACTACAGGGACATCTCCCCCCTCAGTGTGCCGGGAAAGGTCCTGGTAAGGAGAGGCTCAGGCTTGTAGGAAAGGACAGTCCTGCAAATATGCCTTATTTTCTCTCCATCTGCTACAGCAAAGGTGTAGGGAATTCCAACAGGATCTACATCTCAGTTTTATTGACATGGTCAAGGCCTATGATACCATCAGTAGACCTGGGCTCTGGGTTGTTCTTTGCGCACAATCATTAAGGACCCTCATTATGGTGGGCAGGCCCGGGTAAAACTACTTGTCCAGGAGTCAGAGCCATTCCCTATTCACCTTGGGGTGCGACAGGGATGTCCTCTGGCTCCAATATTATTTCATATCTATTTCGACTACGTCGTTCGTGAAGCCTTCGATGGCTGTACCGGAGGAATTTCCATCTGGTAGAGATACAATGGGAGGCTGATCGATGCCCAGGTGTGGTCAAGGGATGGCTCCCGATTGGTTAACCATCATATGTGTCGTGACTGTGATTGTCACTGTGTGGTGCCGGGCTTACGAAGCCACGGCGGATAATGTGTTGGCATTATGTGTAGCTCGCTTACTGGGTGTAGTACCAGCCCTAGCGGGGCTTGGGTGAGCGCTGGTCAGCGCGGAGGCACCACGTACAGTGTGCGGTGTGGGCTCCCGGCGAGGGAGCGAGAGGGCGCGTCAACCAGCCAGGGTTATGTTGGGGCATGATACGCTGGCTGACCTGCCGACACGTGACCGGATGATATTGGAGGGGGGCCACCGGTGGACGGGGGCCGCTGGGCGGTCACGTGGTATAGAAGAGTTCTCGGGAGCCTTCGGAAAAGAGCCGGAGAGATCTAGAATGTGGGCGGGGCGAGGGGCGGAGCTAGCCCCAGCCCTGGCCCATATAACGGGGGCCCGTGAGGGGATCGGGGTTCTTCGGGTTGCTGGTGCTGAAGATCCACGTCGGGTAAAAGAAGCCTCTAGCCACGCGGTCCGGGACCCAGCTTGTGGTCTGGGCCGGGATAGTGAACCTATCTATTTCTGCCGTAGCGTGGTTGATGAGCATTCAAGACCCAAGTGTAGGTTGTGTTATGTTACTTTGAGTTCTGAATAAATAGTGTTGCTCCCAAGACAACGTCTGCGACTCAGTTAGACTCATTACATATGTATACTGATGATCTGGTGATTGCTGCTCACTCAGAGGAGGAGTTGGAGGCATTACTGCAGAACCTAGAGCATGCCACTAATTATTATCAGACACTCTACCCACACAACTCGCAATTGGTAATGGGGCAGTTGTGGAGAGAGTGAAAGTTTTCCATTCCTGGGCAGTGTGCTCATAACGGCTCCGGTTTGACAGCATAGGTCTCACTCCGAATCAGTCAAGCAGCATTATCTTTTTATCAGCTGTATCAGCGTGGAAGCTACCTGGTCTGTCGCTCCACACGAAGCTTCGGGTCTTCTTGGCCACAGTCATATCTTCCCTTATCTATGCTTGTGAAACGTGGGCCCCTCTAATGGAACATCTACTCTGGTTAGATACATTTAGGCTGGCCTCCCTACGATCATTCCATCAGTGAGCTCCTGTGGAAGACAAGGTTGCATTGCCTGGGCCATGTAGCCCGCATACTCAGCCACTGCATGCCCAAGCAGCTTCTGTTTGGTCTGGATAGAGAGGGCTAAACAGGCACGATACGGGCTGGAGAAGAGATGGACTGATGCAGTACAGGAGGATGTAGAGCTGATTGGACTTGCGGAAGACTAGTACCAGTGATGTCAAGACCGGCCTCTATGGAGGAGGCTCATGAAGGACCCTATTGATCAGTTGGAGGCAGTTACTCTCCAACAACAACGGAGGGTAGAGGAGCGATGCTCATAACCGCAACCGGAGTTTCCGGCAGCTAAAATACAGCAAGTTCGCACAGTAGGGGGCACAGTTGGTGCATCTGCCAGTCATCTAAGTTTCCCCATACCACCTGGGTCTATCCCGTGACCTCCTTTCAGCGAGCCTTTGACACTTCACGTGGCCTCAAAGTGTACCTGGCCTGGTACAAGCACCGTTCTGATGTCACCGCCACTTGATCGCGAATGGCGGGTGTTGTTGCTGTTGTTGTGTTTGTACAATGGTGGGAGTGGTAGTGTAGCAGTTAGTGTGCTGCGCTATGAACCCGGCGACCCGAGTTCAATTCCTGCTCACGACCAACACTAGTGACGATTATCAAAACCGGTCCTGGGCCTCCCCGAGGTCGACTCGGCCTCAAACATCGCCACCCACTCCCTCGTGTGCCGTGCTGGCCTTCATAGGTGCTTGCTATTGCTATCAAAACTGCACCAACCCAATATATCATTCGACTCTAAGATTTGCTCTGGATGCCCCTTAGAAAACTCATCATTGTGACCGATATATAGAGACTGGCCTAACATCCCTCCATGATCGCAGAATGATTCACCAGGCTTTGATTATTCAAAATGTCCTTAGTTCCAATTCAGCAGAGTATTTGTTGGATCGGTTGACACCACGGGATGCCAGACCTAACCTGAGGAGCTCATCATTGTTTTTGTTGAATGCTCCTAGGTACAAAACAGGTTTTGGTAAATGGTAATTCTCAGTGGCTGCCCCTAGTCACTGGAATAATATCATCACAAAACTTGATTTACAGTCACTATCTTCACTCAATTATCTTAAATCACTTCCTTCAAGTGCATTCCTGCCAATCTGCCACTGCTGAAGCAAGTAGATGACATACAATTAGTTTTTTTATACTGGTAGGAACCTCCTGGTTACACCAGCCCACAGTGGATTATTATGTCCGTCGTGCAGGGAGGGGCTGGGTGGGGAGGGGAGGGTGGGGAGGGCTGGATGGGGAGGGTGGGGCTGGGTGGGGAGGGGAGGGGCTGGGTGGGGAGGGGGAGGGTGGGGAGGGCTGGGTGGGGAGGGTGGGCTGGGTGGGGAGGGGAGGGTGGGGAGGGGCTGGGTGGGGAGGGTGGGGCTGGGTGGGGGGTGGGAGGGGTGGGGATGGGTGAGGAGGGGCTGGTCACCCTGTGGTGCCCTTATAAAACTCAACGTTTAACCTACTCACGCCGGCATGTGCCCGCCCTCACAGTTGGGCATATTTGCGGAATACATCACACCGCCGTTGACCCTGGCCATTGACCGAGCAATCCAACGTTTCTACCTCCCTCCGCAGGAATGTGTTTATTATTCTGTCTATGAGTCCTGTTGTAATGTGTGCAGTGTCATGGTGATTGGTATGATTACTAGTGTTACTTTAAATTGTTGTTTGCACAGGAAAACTATTTTAGCAAAGCTGTTTCAATTCGTCGTTTTGCAATATTTTATAGAATCTTATTCCTCACTCTAGATGCACTATTTTGCAATATGTTTCTCTAATCTTAATGTTCACTTTAGTTAAATATTTAATTTATTATTAAGTAATATATTGTACATTTTTTTATTTGTTTACTTTTTTCGTTGCTGTATTTATTGTATTCATAATTTTTATGCGACCTGTTGCAAACGTTGTGTTCTTAATTTTACAGTTTTGTTGTTGTTGATGAAACTCTATTCAAGAGCCTCTTAGCTCACAGGGGAATTCTAAATAAACTGTTCTGTTCTAAACCAACAGTCTGTTCAGGCTATGGGGGGATCTTTGTTTTGTACACGTGTGTATGTATACGTGTGTGTGCAAATGTAGGATATGCGCTCACTGCAGCTGCTGTTGCCCACGGAGACGGGCCGGGGCCGGTGTCCTTACCACCCGACGCAGCCCTTCTCGTCGCTCATGAACGGTGACTACGGCAACGTGCAACCCACAGCGCCTGCTGCTATCAGCGGGCCTTCCTCGCTTCACGCGACGGCCTCAGTGTGCACCTAGCCTGGCACAAACACCGTGGTGACATCACCACCAAGAGACGATCCGCGGCGGCTGCTGCTGCCATTATTATTTACACACGTGTGTGCGTGTGTGTTGTTTACACACACACACACACGTGTGTTGTTTACACACACACGTGTGTTCGTCTAGTGTGGTGCAGCGGTGGTGCAGCAGTTAGTGCTGCACCGCGCTCCGTACCCGGCGACCCGAGTTCGATTCTCGCCCACAACCAACCTCGGTGACGAGTATCTTAACCGGTCCTATGCCTTCTCTAGGTCGACTCAGCCTTAGATCAGTACTTGGTGGAGTGTGTAAACATCACCACTGAAGTTTGTTGGGAACACAAAGGTGGCTGGGCGCAGAGCTGACCCCACCATAGGTGCTCGTTAACAGCACTTTCCCCGACAGCCTGTGAAGGCTACCCGGGGGACCTCTGTGTGTGTGTGTGCCAGACGGAGACCTGTACACAGCGACTGTGAGTAACTTCCTCGGCTCGGAGTCGGTGATCGCTCGCTCTATGGGGTCGCGACCCCACCTCAAGACTGAGCCACTTTCCAGCTGGCTCAACGGTGTGCAACTCGCTTACTCACCGACTCTCTCACTCGCCTGCCCACTCGCTCACCCACTCGCCTGCCCACTCACCTGTCCACTCGCTCACCCACTCGCTCACTCATTCTCTCATTCATTCTCTGACTCATCCACTCACTCACCCACTCACTTACTGGCTCACTCATTTGCCTGCCCACTCGCTCATCTACTCGCTCACTCACCTGCTCACTCATCCACTGACCCACGCGCTCGCTTGCCCACTCACTCGCCTGCCCACTCGCTCACCCACTTGCTCACCGACTCGCTCACTCACCCGCTCACTCATCTACTCACCCACTCACTCGCTTGCCCACTCGCATATTAACTCACTCCACCACGCACTCGTTCACATGCTCACTCATCCTCTCACTCACTCACTCTATCACTCATCTACTCACTCACCCACCTGCTTGCTCACTCATTTATCCACTTGCTCCACCACTTATTCACTCACCCGCCCACTCGCTCGCTCAGTCTTGTGAGCCATGCATGCTGAAGTATGTGGTGTGGTGTGGGGGTGTATGTGGTACGAACTCTTGACGATGATGGCAGTGGTGGCGTTGAGTATAGAATGATGCCAGTGATGCTGGTGGTGATGTCATTCAGTATAAAGTGATGTCAATGATGATGGTGGTGATGGAGTTGAGTATAAAATTACCATGGTGATGATGAGATGAAGAAGACGCTCACCTTGACGATGGTGGTGAAAGACGACGATGTTTGCTTTCAGAACCCACTTTTGCTGGATCGGCGTTTGTGAGAGAAGACGATGACGGTGGTGCCGATGGCGGAGATGGTGACAATGGCGATGAGGACGACGATGACGACGAGGACGACGATAAGATTTACTTCTTCTTCAGTGAAACGGCCAAGGAGTACGACTTCTACACGCGGCCTAGAGTGGCACGTGTGGCACGCGTGTGCAAGGTGAGAATGAGGTGGAGAACATGCGTGTGTGTGCAAGCTGAGCGCTAGTTGGAGAGCATGCATGTGTGTGCGTGTGCACTGTGAGAACCAGGTGGAGAGCGTGTGTGTGTGCAAGGCGAGAGTGAGGTGGAGAGTTTGCGTGTGTCTGTGTGCAAGGTGAGAGTGAGCTGGAGAGTTTGCGTGTGTCTATGTGCAAGGTGAGAGTGAGGTGGAGAGTTAAACGTCTCAAGTCCATCAAATACATGATCGGGTGTCCGTCTATCATTTCAGTTTTTTTTACTCAATATTAAGCAACTGATTATTGAAAGCCACCGTGTGTACAATACATAGCCTATATGTGGGGCACCAATTTACACCTCGGGCCTCTATTATCCACTGAGCAGAGCACCCCATCAACGCCCCAATTGTGAACAAAATTCCGGTACCGTGTTAGTTAAGAGCACAAATCGTAAATCCAGTTTGAGCCTCGCTCGTAGCTCAGCAGGGAACTAATCAGCAGCTCCCAAATGCCCTCGTTGCCAGTAGTGATCACTTTTATCAGTGGTCTCAAGATCGGTCTATGTAGAGGAGGAGGCTCGCGAAGGACGCTACATGTGCAGTTGGAGGCAGTCGCCCTCCAGCAGCAACGGAGGGCAGAGTAGCTGTGCTCACAACAATGAGGGGAGCGCCAGGCATCTAAAATACAAGTTGGTACAGTAGGGGGCACAGGTGGTGCATCTGCCAGTCATCTCTGTCAGTCTGCCCATGGCACCTGTTGGGTCTGTCCCGTGAAACTTCTGCCAGCGAGCCTTCGACACTTCATGTAGCCTCGTAGCTGAAAGTGCACAGCCTGGCACAAGCGCTGTGGTGGTATCATAACCACTTAGTGGTGAATGGGAGGTGTTTTTGTGTGTGCATGGTGTGTGGTTTGGTGGTGTGTGCATGCACAGTGTATTTGTGAATTAGGCACGTGTGAATTGTGTTTGTGTGTGCGCGGGTTGAATTGTCTTTGTGTGTTTGGGTTGTGGCTCCCACTTCTTGTGTCTGTCCCCTGTGTCTGATGTCCACATGTGTGTCTCTGTCTCCCTGGGTTTGTGTTCTCGTGTCCCTATGTCTTCCTTTGTCTCCTCGTGTATCCCCGTGTTTCCCTCTGTGTCTCAGGGAGACGTGGGTGGACTCCGCACGCTGCAGCGCCGCTGGACTAGTTTCCTGAAATCGCACCTGGAGTGCGGCGCCACCCCCCACACCCCACCCCACCTCCTCTCCCAAGTGCGGGGGGCTCAGCTGTCACGGGGGGCCCTCTACCTGCTTCTCACTGGGGGGCCCACGTGAGTCCCGTGTGGGGTAGGGGAGGGAACGCATTGCGTGCGTGTGTGCATGCGTGTGAGTCCGCTGTGCTCATTGGGAGTGGTAGTGGACTAGCGGTTAGCGCTCTGCGCTACAAACTCGGCAGGGACCCCGAGTTCGTTTCCCGCTCATGGCCACCAATACCAGTGACGATTATCTGAAACGGTGCTGGACCTCTCCTAGGTTGACTCGGCCTTAAATTAGCGGTGTGTAAAATATTTCCACTGGGGAGATAAAGGCAGGCAGGCATGGTGCTGGCCACCCACCCCCTCGTGTGCTGTGCCGACCATCTTAAGTGCTCGTGGGGGATCTTTGTCAGCTGCGCTTATCTGTGTGTGGGTAGCGGTGGCACAGTGCTTGGCGTACTGCGCCGATAATCCAGCGACTTGAGTTTCAATCCTGCTCACAGCCAACATCAGTTATGAATATGTGAACCGGTCTGAATTATGACCTGGTTAAACAAGATCAACTTGAACGTTGAACTTGGTCCTGGACCTCCGCTAGGTCGATTGAGTATGAAATGAGTACCTAGTGTGGTGTGCGAATATCACCACTGGAGATACAAAGGCGGCCGTTATGGTATTGGCCACACCCCCCACTCGTGCGGCATGCCGGCCTCAATTGGTGAGCACTAAGAGCACTTGCCCCAACAGCCTGTTAAGGCTACACGGGGGATCTTTGTATTTGTATTTTTTTCTTTATTGTGTGACTGTGTGAGTGATTGTGTGTATCTGCTTGTGAGTGAGTGAATGTATGAATGTGAGTGTCTGGCGTGTGGTGTGTGGGATTCATGTGGTGTACATGACGTGCAAGGTGTTCTTATGGCTCGGCGTGGTGTGCTTGGCCTGGTATGGCGTGGTGGTGTGTGCCTCGGTGTGGCTTGCCGTGGTGTGGCTTGGTATGGTGTGGTTTGGTGTGATGTGTGGCTCGTTTTGGCTCAGTATGGTTTGGCCTGGTATGGCGTGGTGTGATATTGCGTGGCTCGGTGTGGCTCGGTGTGGCGTGGTCTGGTGTGGTGTTACATGGCTTGGCCTGGTATGGTGTGGTGGTGTGTGCCTCGGTGTGGCTTGCCGTGGTGTGGCTTGGTATGGTGTGGTTTGGTGTGATGTGTGGCTCGTTTTGGCTCAGTATGGTTTGGCCTGGTATGGCGTGGTGTGATATTGCGTGGCTCGGTGTGGCTCGGTGTGGCGTGGTCTGGTGTGGTGTTACATGGCTTGGCCTGGTATGGCGTGGTGGTGTGTGCCTCGGTGTGGCTTGCCGTGGTGTGGCTTGGTATGGTGTGGTTTGGTGTGATGTGTGGCTGGTTTTGGCTCAGTATGGTTTGGCCTGGTATGGCGTGGTGTGATATTGCGTGGCTCGGTGTGGCTCGGTGTGGCGTGGTCTGGTGTGGTGTTACATAGCTTGGCCTGGTATGGCGTGGTGGTGTGTGGCTCGGTGTGGCGTTGCGTGCTGGGCGTGCAGCTCCCGGCTCTCCGCCGTGTGTGTGTACCGCATGGCGGATGTGAGAGCCGCATTCCGCGGCTCCTACCGTCACCACGACGACGGCACGCGCAAGTGGATCACCTACCCTCGCAGCGGCGTGCCCGACCCCCGGCCTGGAGCGGTAGCGGCCACCCCAATCTCACCACACTGGCCTCACAGCACCACTATCACCGCCCCATCCTCACCGCGCCGCAGCACATACTCGGGTATCCGACGTACCCACACAGCCCGCAGGTCCCCCGGCCCAGAGCAGGACCTGGCCACACCGCCAGTCTCACCACACCACAAATTACAGATGAGTGCAAAGTTCATGGCCCTCTCTCCATACGACGCCGTCTGCTGGAAGGGTCTCCGGCTGGTGAAGGTCATCGACTACCGGCCGAACAACCGATCGCTGCCCTAGCGTCCTCAGCTCCCATGTGAACCTCAGCAAAAGATAATTGCGAGGGGCGAGAGACAGAGTGGCGGGAGGGGGGGTGCAAGAGTCAGAGTGGAGATCGAGAAATAGAGTGGTGGGCGAGAGACAGAATGGGGGGCGAGAGACAGAGTGGGGGGCGATCGGTATTACCTTGGTGTCGCAGCATCTCTTCAGAAAGGTTAGCGACTCGATCAGGTGACAGATGTGTGGAAACCCTCCCCGTAGAGGCGGTTCAATCTTGATTTGAAGCGTTCGTGACTGCAGGAATCCAGATCACGACGTTTCGATCGCAACACAAGCAATCGTCATCAGGTGAGACAACCACAGCAAGAACAAACTGCTGAAGTAGACGAGAGATCTGCCGTGGCACGAGGTTATATAGGCCTCGGCAGATATATTTACACAGACACAACTTCAACCGAGAGGATGGGTACAAACTGAGCAATCATTGGAAGGACGTTATTACCCAGGTAAAGTCTTATGACTGGGATGTTTCCATCCTGCTTGCCTATGTCAGCTGTTATTTCCGACTCTCTGTGTCTTTCTCTCTCTGTGTGCATCTCTCTCCAATCTCTACTCCAGTGACCCGGGTGCTGCCGTGGGGTCCACTTTCTGCCCCGCCCCCTCTCTCCCCCCACTTCTCCCCCCCCCCTCTACTACCGAGGCCTACTATACACTACACTATACACTACTATAATGCCTCGTGCCACGGCAGATCTCTCGCCTACTTCAGCAGTTTTTTCTTGCTGTGGTTGTCCCACCTGATGACGATTGCTTATGTTGCGATCGAAACGTCGTGATCTATGAATTTTCTACCTACGTGACTTTACCGAAAGAACCAAAGAGTATAAACTGAACCATTTTTTATTTTAGCAGGTAAAACCCACTATATAGCTATATAGTTATTTTTCAAAGAGACCTGGCCACAAATGAAAAGCATGTTCATAAATGTGTAGAGAAAAACCGGAGGACCCGGAGAAAAATCCACACAACCACGGGGAGAACATGCAAAACACCAAATATACAGGCATCAGGGTTGGGATGGAAACCACGACCTCCTGCATACCAGCCGAGGTAGTTAACACCTCGCCACCTCGTCACCCTGCAAGCCATGGAGGGATAGCTCCGCACCCAGCGCTTATATCCAAACAGCGGCAACGAGAAGACAACCACAAGGCACCGATCTCACCACACCGAATTCACCGCACCACCCTCACCGCACCTATCTCACCACACTGCCCTCACCACACCGAACTCACCGCACCAATCCCAACACATCGCCCTCACCAAACTGATCTCACTGCACCGATCTCACCCCACCACCCTCACCACACAACCCTCACCACACCGCCCTCACCACACCGATCTCACCACACTGCCCTCACCGCACCACCCTCACCGCACCGCCCTCTCCACACCGCCCTCACCACACCGTTCTCCCCTCAGCACATTCGCCATGCGCATATTGATTGAGTGGTTCGATGCTTGTGTTGTTATTGTGGTGAGTTTTGGACCTGGTGTTGAGTAGTGGGCTTGTTGTCGTTGGCAACGCAGTGTGTGAGCGCAGGTGTGCGGGCCCGCGGCTTCCTGCGCTCCTCCTCTCTCCCCGACCGCACGCTCTCATTTGCGCTGGAGCACCCCCTCATGTTCAGCTCAGTTCGGCCCACCAACCCCGCCAGCCCTACCAACACCACCACCGCCGACTCCACCGCCGACTTTACCACTACCGCCGCGGCCATCTTGGCTGTGCGTGGAGACTCGCTGGCGACCATAGCGGTGACGCACGTGGAGGTCGCCACAGCAACAACGAAGGCGACAGCCTACCCCGTGCTTTACCTTGCCGGCGGTATTAACACGTTCGCTTGCATATACCAATTAACTCGCACATACTAACTGGCATGTACTAACGCACCAACGACAGCTTCGGTTTGAGGTTTCCGCAGCCTTGATCACAATTCCTATTAACCTGCATTTGGGAGCGCCTTCGTGCACGACCCCGTCGATGATTGTTGCTCAAGTCACCCTCCTTCCACGCGGTCTCCGTGGACCGCACCATCGAGTGGTGAGCTCGGAGTGGGAATGTAACGCCATGGTGAATGTCGCACCGTGAGTGCCACCGTATCGCTCACAAATTGCGACCACGTGCCGTAGCACAGGCAGCCCACACAGCAGCAAACAACAGCGACGTGCAGCAACGGCACGCACGCTACCGGCGCCACCAAAGACAAAGATCCCCCGTATTGCCTTCAAAGACTGTTGGCGCAAGTGCTGTTAGCGAGTAGTACCAGGAACGGCACACGAGAGGGTGGGTGGCCAGCACCACGCCCGGCCGCCTTTGTCTCCCCAGTGGCGATGGTAACACATCGCACCAGACACTCATTTGAGGCTGAGTCGACCTAGGGGAGACCCAGGACCGGTTCAGATAGTCACTGGCATTGGCCTTGAGCGGGAGTCGAACTCAGGTCACCGAATTCGTAGCGCAGCGTGCTATCCGTTGCATTCCCACTCCCAGCACAACCTGCATCTGTGTGGTTTCTGAAGTCTTGTCTGGAATCAGCTTCGCCTCATATACTACTCCAGGCCTTCCGTGGGCTTCGTGCGACTAACGCAAAATAACACAGCAGTTTGTGCCCACTCAGAAATAATAACTAACAGTATACTAACGTGGAGAGATACTAATACAGAAATACTAACTCGCTCAGAAATACTAGCTCACTCAGAGAGACTAACTCAGATACTAACACAGAGGTTCTAACTCAGATAAATACTGACACTAAAAATACTCACCCTTATGCGGTGTGTATGGCGTGATGGTGTACACGGTATGATGGGGTGTATGATATGTATGACGAGGTGTGTATGATGACATGCGTGTTCAAAGCAAGGTGTGTATGGTATGATCACACGGCGTGTGTATGGTATGATAACGCGGAGTGTGTATGGTATGATAACGCGGCATGTGTCGTATGATAATACGACGTGCATGTTATGACGACGCGGTGTGTGTGTGCTGTAGAACGAGGTGTGCTGTACAAGGCCGTCCTAATTGGCTCGTTGTCACACATCATCGAGGAAACTCACCTATTCCCCGAGCCCCAGCCAATCAGCCGTCTGCTTCTCTCAGCCAATCAGGTGACAGCATCCACACCATGTAACACTCAGGTGGCGGCTCCCTGGCTTGGCCTGTCGCTCCATAAAAGCAGCATGTACGTGCGTGCGTGTACATGTGTTTTGCACATAATGAGGAGCAGTAGTGCCGTGGTTAGTGCACTGCACTACGAACCCGGTCACCAGCATCAATTCCTGCTCACGGCCGAAGATTTGGTCGACTGTTCAACAGTAGTGGTGACGAGGCTCAAAAGAAAGCTGTCTCTGGTGTGGACCAATCAGTTTCAAGGACAATGCATATATTATCAGAGTGTGTGTTTTGTTTGCATTCTGACCACAAGTATTGTGATTAATGCAGACATGAGTCCTTGTAAAAAGGTTTCAGTTTTGTTGCCAAAAAAAAGGAGAAAACCCTATTCTTATCGTGGTTAATATTTGAACCAGTCCAGGGCCTCCTTTAAGTAGACTCGGCCTTAAGTGCGGTGTGTAGAAGCATCGGCACCAGGGAGACGGAGGCGGCCAGAAGTGGTGATGCTGGCTACCCGCCCCCTCGTGTGCCATGGCGGCCTTTGTACTTGCTCCTCACTAAGAGCACAAGACCTTGCTGATCTCATCATGGAGCATAGACCATCTTGCGAGCTCTGGTCATCCTCGCAGCGCCTTTTGGCTAACCATCGAACAAAGACGGTCACTGCATCCCCAATTTATACAGGCTTTCCCTGTAACTTAAGGTTTAAAAAAACTATTCTATTGTCTGATTGGATTACTATGCAATTATGAATCATACTTCTTCATTTTATTGGAATTTCGAGATTGATATTGTTATTATCAGCTTTCTATTTCGCTTAGATTTAATCTGTATTTGTGAGTGTTGCTTCATTTTTATGTCCAGTGCTTTGAGAAATTTCAATATGAAAGGCACTGTAAAATAGGTTATTATTCTATTATTGCTTGCTTTCAGATACACTTCTGTGGCCGTCTGGAACGCTAATCCAATACTAGGAAGCTACAGAAGCTACGCACTTTTAAATCATCTAGATTGAAAACTCTTGAGAACTGATTTTTTCGTGTTTAGTTTGTTATCCTTCCCCACACCTCCGATTAGCACGGTTGGCTACGTACGGTGCGAAAGAACGTTAACGTACACACGTATATACTTGTCCCAACATGCTAAGTGAGGCTACACGGGGGACCTCTGTGTGTGCAGCGCACGGTGTTTGTGTTGGCCGAGGCCTCGTGCCTGCAGCTCCCAACCGCCTCGTGCTCGCGCCTCGCCTCCTGCGCTGACTGCATCCTCGCTCGTGACCCGCACTGCGGCTGGGATGCACGCACACGCACGTGCAGACACATTCACAGGTACACGCACAGGTACACGCACAGGTATACACACGCACGTGCAGACACACGCACAGGTACACACACAGGTACACGCACAGGTATACGCACGCACGTACAGACACACGAACAAGTACACACACACGTACAAAGACAAAGATCCCCCGTATTGCCTTAACAGACTGTTTGGGAAAGTGCTGTGAGCGAGCAGCCTATGAAGGCCGGTACGGCTCACGAAGGGGTGGGTGGCCAGCACAACATCCGGCCGCCTTTGCGATGTTTACATATCGCACCAGGTACTCACTTGAGGCTGAGTCGATCTAGGGGAGGCCGAAAACCGGTTCATATAATCATAACTGGTATTGGTGTCTGTGAGTGGGAATCGAACACGGGCCGCCCGGTCCATAGCGCAGTGCAGCGCTAACCGCTACACTACCGATCCACAGAACACGGCTACACACACATGCACACGTACTGACACATACAGATAAATGTACATACACCCTCCGTGTTGATGAGGTATGTGTATGGGCAGTGTTGCTTTGTGAGTGTATGTGCAATGACGGCCACTGCGACGATCGGGGCGACTCGCAGGCTTCTCTCTCAACGTAGGCCGGGTCTATTGTAACTTCATGAACAATGTCAGCAAAGGAATAACGTGTATCTTGTACGTATGTTGAACCTCTTTCACACCGTACGTAGACAATTGTGCTCATCAGAGGTGCAGGGGAAGAACAACAAACTAAACACAACAATCATTTCTAAAGACATTAGTTTTCAATCTAGATTTTAAAAGTGCATAGCTCCAGTGGCTTCCGAATACTCATCATGGCTACTGCTGCGATGCCTCACACTCAACGAGTAACTCCATGTACAACACCACTCGCCTGAACTCTCCACTCCGTCCACTTGGCCCGTAGACCTTTTCATTAACTACACTAAAACTAAACTTTTAATAACCAGGTAAATGTTGCACACTCGAAATGAAGGACGTGGGCAGGTGCTCCAAATCGAGGGCAAGCACATTTATTTATTGTAGTTAATATCAATCTTGTGAAGAACCGCACCATCACTCTGTAAAATGAAACAGCGCGTGTTACACGCATCAATTCTTCCGAGACGCCATTAACCATGTGGCTGGTTTACACGTACGGTTATTCATTAACCCTTTCTCTTAAACCCAATTCTACTACTGATAAACCATCCTTATCTTTGACAATCACATTTGCACATCACTATTCAACTATTACTTTAATCCTAAGCTGTATGTCTATCTATACCATCCACTTATATCGGTATATTACATCCATTATATGTCCTGTATGTGTACAGTATACGTACTGTATCTCACCATTGTACAGCTTACTACTTTACATGTGTTATATTCTCAATAGCATTGCAAGTAGTCATACTCCGGGTACATGGGCATGGTTATAGACTAAACAGTAGAGTTAGAGAATTACAATGACAGTAACAAATTACAGTGCATCATCCCTTTACAATGCACAGTGCTAAAACGCCTCTAATTGCATATATCACAAACGAACAATTCAAAGCCAAGCTTAAAGTCTAGAACAAGTCTAGAACATTTATATAACGATCCAAAACAACCTTTGGGTCCTTTACCTGTAAAATGCAACAGCGCGTGTTACAAGCAGCAAATCTTCCAAGACGCCATTAACCATGTGGCTGGTTTACACGTGCGGTTATTCATTAACCCTGCCAGCCACCTACAGGCCCGACTCAGTCATCACATGCTGCTGTACACACATGCATTGATGCACTGCACAGCACATCAGGACCTTCACAGAACCACACTTTTACTCCCTTGCTGCACAAGGATATAATTAAAAGAGTGATCCATTCCTAATGTGCCACATAAAGCCCACTGAGCTATAAGCTGGCCACAAGTGGTAGCGCATCATCGCAGTGGCTGATATGAATTCATAGCAGCAGCCATGTCATAATCTAAACGCATGTTTGTAAATCTGGAGGAGGGAAAAACCGGAAGGACCGGAGAAAAATCCATGTCACCACCATGGGGAGAGAGAGATCACGCGAGCTCCAAATATACAAACAGGCATCATCAAAGTCCGTGACTGAACCCTACCTCAGCGCCCCGTCTATACTCCGCTCCGCCACTCGTCCTCTTCACTCTTCACTGGACATCTGTGGAAAAAAAAGCTTCATAGCTCACCGGATTCCTCCAGCATAAATAAATATTCTGATTCTGTCCATATCCACCCGCCATTCGGCGACTCAAACCTCTCGCACCGTCCTGTCACCCCCCACCCCTTTCTCCCCCCCTCTCCCCCCCCCCCCTTTCTCCCCCCTCTCTCTCTCGGTGGTCTTAGTGATGCCTATTCTTAGGTTTTTTCGGTAAAGTCACGTAGGTAAAAACATCAAAATTAATGAAAATAAAATAAAATAAAACAAAAAATCACGACGTTTCGGAGGCAACACAAGTCTCCGTCATCAGGTGGGACCGTCACAGCCGAATTAGCTGTATCAAGTGAGGCAATAATTCAAGATGTAATCCCTTATAAGCAAGTTGAAGGGGGGGAGGAGAGGGGGGGAAGCTCATCAGAATGTGGTAGCCAATCTAGACTTAGTGATGCCCTCAGTCTAAATTTCTGTGCTGGGATCATGACCAAGAATTGCGGTAATCGAATCGCGGGGTGGTGGAATCTGCTTTTATCAGAGCATTTGTCGCTCTGTGGGGTCGCGCTAAGCAAGTTCTGCTCTGTATTGCAGTCACAGGGGAGGGCGGCTGCTGCAGAATGTGGAGACGGGCATCACGGCCAGGGTGTGCGATGTCACTCGCACTGACACCACAGGTGAGGAGGAGGAGGAAGAAGGGGAGGAGGCGTGGGGGCTCCATCATCCTCACGTCATCATCATGAATACCTTGCCATCATCGCAATCTCCATTTCATCATCGCCATCTCCCATCATAGATTTGCACCTTCCGTGCCACTTGTGCTTCCACGTCTCTCGTGGCAGCTGTCTCAATCCTCGTGGACCCGCCCTCCTACCCCAAGTGCCCTCACGTGCCCCTGTGTCTCCACGTTCCACCATGACTCCGTGTATCTCCCTGTGCCTCCATGTCCCCCACGTGTCTCAGTGTACCCATTTCTCTCTGTCTCTCCATGTCTCAGTTGAGATAGTGTTTATTGCCATGTCCGCATATGTGTCCGCATGTCTCCATGTCTTAATTCCGGTCGTGTTTGTTGCCGTGTCTCCGTGTGTCTCCGCGTGTCTCCGCATCTCAGTTCCGCTGCACGACATCCTTGTGTCCCCGTGGCTCCCGGCTATCTTCCTCCCGTGCCCTCTGACCTCGAACCTGGCGCGCGCCACCTGGATGCACGACCTCCGACCTTTGATGCCGGGGCAGGACCCGCTCGGGGTCCCTACTGGGCAGGGCCCCGGCCAGGAGCCCCCCGGCCCGCCCCCCACGCCGTCCCCACGCCGCCTGGTGGTGGCGTCGGACCTGGAGCCCCATCCAGGGGTACGCGCGGTGGGGGGGTCGCCCCTCAACCGGGGCCCCTTGCCCGAAGCTCCCCTCCCCGCGGGTCCCCTGGCGGCGACCTCGGCCCGGGCGACCCCCCGCTGGGTCCCCGTGGCCCCCTGGGAGGGTCCTCCGGGGCTGCTGGTGTTCACGGACGGAGGAGGGGCGGAGCTGTCGCGCGTGGCCGGCGAGTACCGCTGCTGGGAGGAGGAGGGGGATGCGCGGCGTGCCGTGGCGGCGTTCCGCCTCGTGGCGGGGGCCGCTGGAGGCCCCGCCGGATCTCCCGCCGCGTCCTGCAGGGTCCAGGTGTGTGCGGGGGGGTCAAGGCATCGGGGGTCTGGGATTCGGTTAGTCCGTGGGTCACAACAACAACAACCGGCATTCGCCACTAAGTGGTGGTGATGTCACCACGGCGCTTGTGCCAGGCTATGTGCACATTAAGGCCACATGAAGTGTCAGACACCCGCTGGCAGGAGGTCATGGGACAGACCCAGGTGCTATTGGTTGACTGACTGAGATGACTGGCCGATGCACCACCTGTGCCCCCTACTGTTCTAACTTGCTGTGCTTTAGCCACCCAGCGCTCCGCTTGTTGTTGTAAGTGTCGCTCCTCTGGCCTCCATTGTTGCTGGAGGCCTCAAACTGCTCAGTAGCGTCCTTCATGAGCCTCCTCCACAGAGACCGATCTTGACACTGCTGGTACCAGTCATCTGCAAGTCCATTCAGCTCCACATCCTCTTGTATCATCTCTTGTCTAGTCGGTGCCATGCCCATTTAGCCCCTCTAATTGGTCGAAAAAAAGCTGTTTAGGCATGTGTTGACTGGGCATGCGAGCTACATAATCCAGCCAATGCAGCCTTGCCTGCCAGAGGAGCTCACCGATGGGACTTTGTCCAGATCTTTAGAGGATTTGTGAGCTCGTCTCACAATCCAGCCCGGTTAAACCCAGGATGGATTGTAGGCAGGACAGCCTAAATGTTTCTAACTGGCGAAAATGTTCCATTAGGGGGTCTATGTTTCGCAAGCATAGAGAATGGAAGGCATTACTGTGGCCAAGAAGACCTGAAGGTTTGTGTGGAGTGACAGACCAGGTAGCTTCCACACAGCATTGCGCAGTTGATGAGAAGATAATGCCGCTCGACTCATTCGGAGTGAGACCTCTGCTGTCAAACCGGAGCTGGTCATGAGCACACTGCCCAGGTATGGAAAACCTTCCACTTTCTCTACAACTGCCCCATCACCAATGGGGAGTTGAGGGGTGGAGTTTTTGCTGGCATAAAATACCTAGGCAGGTGCTTAGTTTTGGTGGGGCTGATGGTAAGGGCCCACCTTTTAGGGGCACGCTCCAGGTTCAGCATCAGCACCTCCAACTCCTCCTCTGAGTGAGCAGAAATCACCAGATCATCAGCATACATACGATGGTTGACCAATATAGGGAGCCATCCCTTGACTGCACCTGGGCATCGATCAGCTTCCCATTGTATCTGTACCAGATGGAAATTTCTCTGGTACATTCTAGATTTGAAGTTTTTGTGACTGCAAGGACGCATACTCTTTGGTTCTTTCGGTAAAGTCACGTAGGTAGAATTATTTTTATTTTTTACCTACGTGATTTTACCGAAAGAACCAAAGAGTATGTTCTCTGGTACAGCCATTGAAGGCTTCACAAACTCCGTGGTCGAAATAGATGTTAAATAAGGGAGCCAGAGGACATCCCTCTCGCATGCCAAGGTGAACAGGGAACGGCACCGACTCCCAGCCACATAGTTTTACCCGGGCCTGTCCACCATCATGAAGATCCTTAATGATTGCGAGCAGAGAGTAGAGAGTCAGGGACTCTGAAAGCACGAAGAACAGCCCAGAGCCCAGGCCTAATGATGGTATCATAGGCCTTGATCAGGTCAATAAAACAGAGATGTAGGTCCTGTGGGAATTCCCTATACCTCTGCTGTCGCAGACGGAAATAAAATATGGCATCTGTGCAGTATGACCCTGGCCTGAAACCACATTGGGGCTCCGCAAGCTTCTCAGCGTGCCTGGTAAGGCGATGCTGAATAATCTTTTCCAGGACCTTTCTGGGCACACTGAAGAGGGTGATACCTAGATTTGAAGTTTTCATGACTGCAAGGATTCATACTTTTTGTTTTTTTCGGTAAAGTCACTTAGGTAAAAAAAAAAATGACGACGTTTCGGAGGCAACACAAGCTTCCGTCTTCAGGTGGAACCGTCACAGCCAAATTCTTATTACAGTGAAATTGGCTGTAACGGTTCCACCTGAAGACAAAAGCTTGTGTTGCCTCCAAAACTTCGTGATTTAATTTAGTTGTTTTTTCATTTATTTATTTATACCTACGTGACTTTACCGAAAAAACCAAAGAGTAGGGTGATACCTGTAGTTGTTACAGTCTGTGCGGTCCCCCTTCTTAAATCCTGCGGAACCTGTCCAATGGTCCAGACTGTTATTATGATATCATAAAGGGCAGTCTGCACACAAACGCCACCCTCCCCCAGCATTTCGCTTGGGAGATCATTTCTGCCCAGCACTTTTCTTGGTCTAACACTCTGGATCACCTTCCGTACTTCCTCAACAGATGGCACTTGAGCCAGCCACTCACAGGGTGTGACATCTTCTTCCAATATTTGAGGCACGGCAGCTTGTCCCATGATGTTTTCTGTGCATCCATGATGTTGTGTGGATGTGCCGATGCCGGAACGGCGTGTTGATAATTACAAGCCCATGGGCTTTACAAAAGTCTAGCAGCCTCCTACCGTTGTTATTGAGCTGATCTAACCTATGGCTTCCAAATACTTCAGCCCAGGTACCAAAATCATGACCCACTCAGGCATTAAAGTCACCCAACAGGATGACTATTCCGAGGGGCCACTTTAGCTAGCACCTGTGACAGGGGGTCATAGAATGCATCTGACTCATCGGCCTTGTCTGTAACCCTCCACTAATCATCTTTGGCGGGGGCATAAGTAACCACCACCACTCTTCGCCTCTGGTTGATGGGAAGGCAAGCCCACAGTAGCCTGGGGCTTACGTCTTCCCACGCCTCACCGTCATGCTCCCACGCTCTGTTCATTTTTTTGTTTAGGAGAAGAACCACTCCCTGTTGTTTGGCAGTCTCTTTCTCCGAGTATAGGACTGTCCACCCTCATTGGTGGCTGGAGCCAGAGCCAGTCTACCGGACCTCCTGAATCCCACAGAGATCCAGGCGGTACCGGTCCAGCTCCTGACAGAGGAGTGGCAACCTCTCCTCCGCATTGAACATTCAAACATTCCACGTGGCCACCCATAGTGGCGTTTTGTAGTTTCTGGAGGAACGCCGAGGGTAAGGATTCAGACTCCTGCCACGACAAATGGGGTTTGGCCAGGAGACGCCATAGACACCTGTCCCCCCGGGGCCTCCAGAACAAGCTTGATTAGATTTTTTCACGTTATTTTGTGGTCAATGGGTTGAAGGTGGAGGGGTTACCAGCCCCTTGCACCCATCCAGAGCCCCATTTGGCTGCTGTGGTGGCTACAAACGCCATGAAGAGAATAGCGAATTGAAATTGGACCTCCCCCCATTGCTCACCACATCATTACCGTCCGACACCACTGAGGGTTGAGTCGTGTCCCATTTTGGATTGGAAGGATCTGGTGGAGTGTGGGCCCTGTACATCCGATGAGCTTGGATCTAGGTCGAAAACTCCCTCAAGTGATGTGTCCTATTCATGTGTCCTGCCATCACTGCCCAGTGGATAACATGCAGAGTGACCGGACGGTGGAGGGAGGAACATGACGAGGTTTCAATTCATGGTGGCCAGATGTTAACTTCCTCGCCTGGTATGCAGGAGGTCATGGGTTCGATCCCGACCCTGATGTCTGCTGTATATTTAGAGTTTGCGTGTCTCCGTGGTCGCGTGGGTTTTTCTCTGGGCTGTCTAATTTTAGCGTATTTGGGTTCTATACATTTTCACTTGATAGGCCACCTCGGTGAGCTATAATTTGTGGCCAGGTCGCTTTTGACAAAGAGCTACATAGCTCAGTGGGCCTTACCTGGTTTAATAATTGTTTTTAATAGTTTAAAAGTTTAAATATATTCAGACAACATAACAATCGCTAAGCCCATAGGATGGACCGCGAATGGACCTGCCTAAGAATAAGAAAAACAACAACGATAACAGTGACATTAATTTACACAGGAAAGACACGTTCAGTCTTTAGACTCTCCCCGGGAGGGTCCTGCTTTTTGGCCGATTGTTAGTGGTTAGTGGTTGTGGCTCAAGGTGTTGTTGGGAGTCGATCATGCTGTTTAATCTGTGTATTGTATGTATATTGAACTTCTTTCGTATTCTATGTAGCCAGCCATGCTAATTGGTTGGCTGCATATATGTTCCGTGTGCCTGCCCGGGTTATTGTTGTTGGTGGTTGCTGTATCCCGTGCCCGCAGTGTGCCGTGTACCTGCCCGGGTGGCTGCTCATGGCTGCGGCGGTGACTGTCCTGGCGGCCTCTACACTTTACGTGCACCGGCGGAGAGACCGGGAGAGTGGGGAGGGGAAGGTGAGAGAGCGGGGAGAGAGGCGGGAGAGCGGGGTGAGAGTGGGGAGTGTGGCGAGGGGGAAGGTGAGAGAGGATGGAGAGAGTGGTACTGCTTGTGTTCCAATGCCAGGAAGTGGGAGTGGTGGGGCACTGTGATGGTGTGTGTCGCGGTGGCCGGCATGGTGCTGGCCACCCACCCCTCGTGTGCCCTGCTGGCCTTCATCAGTGCTACTCGCTGAAGGCACTTGGTCCTACAGTCTGTTAAGACTACACAGGGGATCTTTGTCTTTGTGTGTACTACAGGAGAACGGAGCACCAGGAGTGTCCAACGGAAACATCTCTCACACTCCCAGTGAAGCGCACGTCATACAATCGGACACATCCGTGAAGAGCAGCGACACGCACATAGACACGCGTCAACATGCACGTACAGACACAACCACAGATGATACCCGTCAACACACACATACAGAGACAGTACCTGGCACGGAGACACACACACAAACACAGACATGCACGCAGTGACCACACACAAACACAGACACCCACAAATGCCCGCAGACTCACACAAACATGGAATGGCTCTGACGTCCAGCTATGTAGCTTTACCTGGGCCTGCCCAACATCATTATGGTAACAGTGGCTGTGAGTTACAGGCTGTTATGGGCTCTCCTCCCTTTCTACAGCAGGGGAGGAATGGTTCTAATGGGGGGATTACGCCCCCACTGAAGATGAACATCAGTAGAGGGATGCAGACAAGGCTTATGAGTCTTTGACCTCTTGTCAGGGGATGACTAAAGTGACCCCTTGGGATAGAGTCATCCAATATATTGTTCTGGGATCGGCACATCCAGACATTAAGAACTAGTGACGAGACAGCAAATGCGGATCTTGATACCAGGACCTACTGTGGAGCTGATCTGTCCACTGACCATCGGCTTTTCATCTGGAAGATGCGCCTGCCATTATTCCACTTATGTGGTGGGCGTCCACCTAGGACCTCATTCAAACCCACAGTAGCCTGGTCGAGTCTAGCTGACGAAAGTTGCAGGTGAGAATTCGATCATTGGTTGTGGCTGAGGTTGACATCGTCCCCCCCTAATATTAAAAGGAAATGGGTGAGGTTCAGGACTGTGGCTCATGCAGCTTATTTGGCTGCATTGGGTATACAGTCCAAACACTCCCAAAACTGTCTAATGGAGGAGATGGTCCATCTAGTTGAGAAAAAGCAGCAGCCCACTTTTACCATCTATAACAGCCCGTAGGCTTTGCTCGGAGGTTCACAGAGCCATATGGCACTACAGGGATAAGTGGTGGTTTCGAGTTGCTGAGAAGATGGAACATGCCTCAGCAGAGATGGAATTCCGCGACCACAAATCACTCTTCAACATCTTTACACACACACTGATACTGACACAAAGGTAAACGATACCATTTTTATTCCTTTAGCGTGTAAATGCAATTGCATCTCTAGAAATTGTCTAGAGGCAGTGGAACTTGGGCATCTTGGTGAAAGGAGACTTATTTATTTATTTAACTTCTATAGAAAAAGGGGCAGCCAGTGTTTGGGAGAGGAAACGAGGACGGCCTTAAGCCACGGCAGCACGGGATGGCTGGGGAAGGGAGTTTCAGACTTGGAGGCAGCACAGGAGAATAAGTGACCTGCCACTGAGCGACAATTCACTGGGGGCTTCGATGGAAATACTTGGTTACTGGAACAGAGTGCGTGGAGGGGAGTAGAGTGAGATGAGAGGGGAGAGGTGGGATAGCACATGGAGGGGAGTAGAGTGAATTGAGAGGGGAGAGGTAGGAGAGAGGGTGGAGGGGAGTAGAGTGAGATAAAAGGTAGAGAGTGCATAGAGGGGAGCAGAGTGAGTGGAGGGGTAGGGAGAGTCGAGTCGATTAAGGTTCTTGAAGACGGTGAGTGTAATCTTGAAGTTGATTCAGGATTGGATTGGGAACCAGTGGAGGTAGCGGAGTATTGGGAGATGTGCTCTGATTTATAGGTGCGGGTGAGGAGTCTGTTGGACATTTTAATCACGCGTAGGTGGTAGATGAGCCATTTGGGTTGGTAAGTGTGCCGCAGACCCCTACGCCATTGTGGGAGTGCTCAAGGATGACCGCCTCGTCTATGGTATCAAAAGGAGCCGAAATATTTTAGGAGAATTCGGAGCAAGAGGGATCCACGGTGTTAGCAAAGAATTAGCTCACTGACCAGACGTCGGAGAGCAGTGTCAGTCGAATGGAGTGGGGTTGTGGAGATCACAGAGAGGAGGGAGAAGATGCCCCTGTGTAGGACGTCTCTGAGGAAGGGGAGGTTGGAAATTGGATGGAAATGTTCTGGAATGTCGGGGCCCAAAGTGGATTTTGTCGTGGATGGGAGTGACAGCAGCAGTCTTGAGAGCTAAGGGAACGGTCCCGGATGAGATGGGAGCATTGACGAGGCCGGTAAATGATGGGGTGGGGGTGAGTAGAGGTAGTGAACGGTGAATTAGGAGGGCAAACAAAGAGGATATATCATTGTAGCGATGTTTATGGTGACAGGCTGAAGGATGTTGAGGTTAGGTCGAGGGAAGACGCAAGGACAGGCAATCTGATGAGAAGAGTCAGACACTAGAGTTATGTTTGTGATGTTTTCAAACATTTGAGAGAAATAGGAGAGTTGCAAAAATAAAGATACTCCGAACAGCCTTAGCAGACTGTCAGGGCAAGTGCTGTTAGCGAGCACCAATGAAGGCTGGCAAAGGCACACGATGGAGTGGATGGCCAGCACCACGCCCGGCCACATCTGTCTCCCAAGTGCTGATGTTTACACCGCACCTGGTACAAACTTTAGGCTGAGTCGACCTAGGAAGAGTTTGCGCACCACATTGAATGAGGCATTCACTATCTTTGCCATCTATTCTCACTCATTTACACAATGGTGACAGCGAGTCAGGGTGAATGCAAGAGACTGGTGTAACCATGTTCACTCTATCTTGATTTGAAGCTTTCGTGACTGCAGGAATCCATACTTTTTGTTTTTTTCGGTAAAGTCACTTAGGTAGAAAATAAAATAAATCACGACGATTCGGGCTCAACACAAGCGTCCGTCATCAGGTGGGAAAGCATGGTCTGCTGCTGAGGCAGACACGGACTTTACCGATAGAACCAAAGAGCATGTTCACTCTATTTCACACTCAACACTAATTCTCTCTCACTCATTCGCTGGCACTCTTCACCAGGTCAAGCCCATGCGTGCTTGATTGCGTCCAGTTGTGCATGTCTCGGGGCAGAAGGCATGACTATCGTTCAGCGCGATTAAACTCGGTGAGCTTACACTCTGTGTCTCTTTCTCGGTGGCGGGCTCATTTATATGTCGCCACGAGCACCACCTGCCCGTGCACGCCTGCGCGTGTGTGAGGTCGACTGATGCGGTGCGGGAGGATGTGGAGCTGAGTGGACTTGTCACTGACAGGTACCAGCGGTGCCAAGATCGGCCTCCGTAGAGGAGGTTCGTGAAGAACGCGACTGGGCGGTTAGAGGCAGTCGCCCTCCAGCAACAGCAACAGCGGAGGGCAAAGGAGCGACGCTCACAACAACGAGCGGAGCACCGGGTGGATTAAACGCAGCGATATGACACAGTGTGGAGCACAGGTGGTGCATCTGTCAGCCATCACCTGGGTCTGTTCCGTGACTTGCCAGCGAGCCTTTGATATTTGACGTGGCCTCAAGTGCACTTAGTACGGCACAAGCGCCGTAGTGACATCACTGCCACTTAGTGGTGAACAGCGGTTGTAGTTCTGTGAGACAAATTGTTAATGATGATGGTAACACGTGTTTACACTGGTTTGTTGAGCTGCTGACGTGCATGCATTTGTGGGGGGCGGTGGGGGGGTGTTGTGGTCAGGGCTCTGCATTGTGAACCCGACGACCCAAATTTGATTCCCGCTCACGGTCGTCAACAGTGAACGAGTCGTGAGCCTCCCCTGCATGGATCGCCTCAACCTTACAGAAGTATCTGGATGGGTGTGCAAACATCGCCACTGGCGTGGTGTTGTCATACGTCACACCTCGTGTGCTGTGCCAACTTTCATAGGTACTCGCTAACGGCACTTGCCCCAACAGTGTTAGAGTTTATATAGGGGATCTTTGTAACAACACGTTTTTGTGCACGTGTGAACGTCTGTGTTTGATAACTTGTTTGTGTGTGTGCCTGTCAGTGCATCAATGTACTGTCTGTGTGTGTCACAGTGTGCGGAGACCTTGTGCAGTGTGTAAGACGACTGGAGAGAGATCAGCTCCAATGACCATCGGCTTGCCATCAGCAAGAGGATGCGCCAGCCCTTCAACTGCGGTGGTCGGTGTCCACCCAGGTTCCCATTTAAACCCACACTAGCCTGGTCTTGGCTGGCTGATGAAGGTTGCAATAGAGAATCCCATCATCGCTTGCAGCTGGGGTTGTTGGCATCGCCAGGAGGAGGGAGCCTCCTGATGCCGAGGGGAAATGGGTGGATTTCAGGGCTGTGGCTCATGTAGCTGCTAAGACTGCAAGGAGGGAGGTGTTCCGGCTAGCTGAAAGAAAGTGGCAGGCCCACGCTCGCCATCTACAATATCCCACGTCCCAGGATGAAGAGGCTGACTGCAGCCTTCGCTCAGAGGTTCGGAGAGCCGTGCGGCACTGCAAGGTTGGGTGGTGGTCAAGATCACAAATCACTCTCTGATTCCATCAAAAAATGAGAGCACCACCCCGAATCGTAAACTAAAAAGTGGTGATATCCATTCACCAGGAACTGGTTTGCAAATTGAATATTTCTGTGAAGTTTTGGAGGGGAAACCCCTCGGACCATTTCACATCACAGGGCAAGGTTAATGCTGATCCTGATGCGACTGCAAGGTCGGGGTAGAGTGGTGGTAGGAGTTAGGGATAGAGTAGGGTTAGGTGTTGGGGTATAGTTAGGATGAGGCGTAGGACTGTGACAATTAGAATATGCGTCAGGGGTTAGTGTTGCAAACTGCCTTAGTGTGACTTGGACAGTCCAGGAATTGACATCTGTGTTTAAGGGGCAGGAGTTGACTTGTACCGAGATCTGGTGGCATTGTGTTGAACTCACGGTAAACGCGACAGTATTGATAGACGTAGCAGTGTAAGGGGTTTTGGATAGGGTCATGGTAATCAGAGGGGTAGAGTTGAGGTTAGAGTTGAGGCTATGATAATGAGGGTTCGTTTTAGAGCCAGGTATTAGGGGACAATTAAGAGTAAGGGGTGGGAATTAGGGTCCGGGGGACAGGGTTAGATTGATAAGGTTTTGGGGACAGCGTTAGGGTTATGATAGGGTTATGGCGAGGTTGGGAGGTAGGGTTAGGGGTATAGTTAGGTTGGAGTTAGGGCTTATGATGAGACGGGGTTAGGAGTATAGTTGGGATAGAGTTAGGGCTGTGATGATGAGACAAGGTGAGGTTTGGGTTCAGGGATATGGTCATGTGACAGGGTAATGGGTCCGAGTTAGGGCGAGGATTGGGGCAAGAGTTGCAACCAAAATAACAAGAGCCACCTTTTTTAGAATTCGGTTAAAAAAAATTTCACGATCCACAATGCACGTGAATAACGCCACGGAGCCGTCCTTACAAAGAGCCGCATGCGGCTCCCGAGCCGCAGGTAGCCGACCTCCTTGGGTCAGGAGCCGGGGTGCGAGCCCTGCAAAATCAATAATGAGGGCTTGGGGAGGGAGCCGAGGGAACGAAGTGATCGCTCCGCATTCTTTGTGGTGATTGTTCCAACATCGTCTCTGGCCCCCAGGCTCCCCCCCACCTCATTCCTCCCCCCGCATGTCCGGGCTCGCCCGAGACACACGCCTCGAGGTCGGGGTGCCGATAATAATGCGTTGCGTGCAATTTGTTTGCAGCGTGGAGGGGGCTCGGCGTGCGTGCAGTGCGTGTGCCGTGGCCGTGGCAAGCCTGCAGTGTGGGGTGCAGGGTGCAGTGTGTGCGACGGAGGGGAGCGGAGTGAGATGGGGGAGGTGGAGCGGAGTGAGACGGAGGGGGGGAGTGAAACGGGAGTGGGGAGTGAGACGGGGGGGGAGTGAGACGGGTGGGTGAGACGGGGGGGAGTGAACGGGGGGGGGAGTGGAACGGGGGGGGAGGAGTGAGACGGGGGGGGGGGGAGACGGGGGAGGAGTGAGACGGGGGAGGAGTGAGACGG